AATGCGAAACCAAACACGAAATTGGCATGTTTCAGTTAAGCAAATTTATTTTCCAAATGTCAAATTTCGTAATTCAACTGATGGCTAACGTCCAGACTACGTCTTGGTCCGTTCCGCCTGTGGCAGCAGAAACTCTTCCCAACCCTCAGCGAGTCGGAGTTACGCAGAGCTGACGTGGCTGGTGGCGTGAATGTGTTTGGGTTACAGAGTTCAGGTAAATCAATCATCTGCTACCTGTGGTCGGCTGGTTCGCCCAAACAGAGACGTCAGGCTGTGGTGTTGAGCTGTAGGGTCGAAGCGTGTCACTGCCGCCTCGGCGCTCTTTCAGTAAACCGTAGAAAAGTCCAGAAGGATCAAATTCGCCTGAAAGACTCCAGCCTCTGCTCTGCTTTCTGAAATCCCTGTGTGTCTCTGGCCAGTTTCATCTGCTACCAAAACATATCCAGTCCCCCGCCTGAAACCGAACGCTGCTCTGGACAAACACACGCTGGGAAACCAGATCTCCAGCTGTTGGACACGACTTAACGTTTCTGATCTCTGAACGGCCCAAAGAGGGCCGATCTCCGCTAATGAGGATCTCATATGAGGAGGCTGAAGGCAAACAAAGACGTTTCTCAGCACACTTCAGCTCGACACTGGAGAACAATGGCAAATACGGAGGCTTTCAGGAAGAATTCAAAAAGAAAAAAAGAAAGTTCCCAGAGATCTTTAGGTGTTCGTACCACAACAGCGTATTTGGGTCATTATAGATGGAAAAAAGGTTGGAGATAATTTAAGCCAAAAAATCTCAGATATTTTAGAAAAAACAAGGACATTTCTTAAGTCTCAAATTTGCTAGATTAATCTCAGAATTTTGGGGGAAAAACATGCAAATTTTGAATTTTTATTAGTTAAATATTTGCTAGAAAAAACTTAGAAATTTTGAGATTAGTCTCAGAAATCTTTGGAAAAACAAACATGGAAACTTCGTAGTTTGAAAAGTCGCAAATTTGATAGAAAAATTCAGGACATTTCTAGAAAATAAAACAAAACTTCAGACTTTGAAAAATGGCAAATGTGATAGAAATGTTGCTAGTATTTTCTAGAATTTCCATGAAAAACAAGAAAATTTCTGAGTTTCAAAAGTTGCACAAACTTGGAATTCAGGAGTTTCAAATGTCAAAAATGTTCAACTTTTGAGACTCAGAAAACTCGATCATTTTTTACTTCTGAATCTCAGACATAAAAAAGTCAAAAATTTCTGATGTTTTTTCTTGCAAATTTGCGACTTTGGAAACCCGGAAATTTCCACATTCTTTTCATTGAAATTTTCTGAGGTTGACCCTAATTCGCTGACGTTCAGAACGGAGGTGAGGTCAGATCCAGACAGAAGCTAATCGTCAATTTTCAGCAGATATCGTCACAAAGTGCTGAAACCTTCTTAATCAAAAAGCTTCTCATTCCCAGACACAGAAGTGCAACAAAGCTAAATTTGCTGTGATTTATTGTCATTTTTATGGCTCCAGTGTGAAAAAGAAATGATTTTTTTCTTGCCAAAACAGTACGCTTCAATGCTCATGAAGTTAATCATCCTCAAACTCTAAATCTACCCATTAATCCATCAGCCTGTCAACACAAACTACAAACGACTGTTCACAGTGGTTTAGCTTTCACTTGGTGCTAAAACTGTCCTTTAGCATCACGTTTTCTAACGTTCTGGACCAAAACATGTCAGAATTATCCCTTAACCAAGTCCAAATGGAGCGGACCAGAGACAAGTTACGTTATTGTCTCCAAGGATGCAGAAACCGCTCGGGTTTTCTTCTGCTTAACTTCTCTGACAGCTCATGACGGTTGAGTCACCGTCACACAGCCGCCACGTTTCACGAGCCCGGCTCGCTCCAGAACCTGGACCCAGTCGGAGCGGCTTAATGAAAAGCAAACGGGGGCAGAGGAGAGGCGGAGGAAGCAGCGGACCCACTCCCAGCCACTTCCTCTGCAATTAATCGATGGAGGAGACTTGGCAGAAGAGGACAGCGTGAATGAGTCACATTCGGATCTGGAGAGGCTTTCAAAGCGGCAGAAACACAGAAAGGGAAAGGCAGGAAATCACAGAACACAATGAGAAAAGTTGAGACAGACACCGATAAAAATACAGAAACATTTACTGTGGAGGTCCGGAGAGTCTGAGCACAGAAATAACATCCCAAATAAAGCAGGTAGATCACAGGACTTACAGCACCAACCTTCTGTTTAAAGAATAAATCATAGCTGTATAGAGGTAATTAAAGAGAAACAAAATGGAAGGAAAATAAAATGTAATTTTTAAAGGGCCAGTGTTAAGTAAAATTAACTCTTTTTTGAGTTTTTCATCATGTCGTACTGTTATCCCCTCATCAAAAACCTGCCAACATGGAGTGTTGCCTTGATTCTTAATGGATGTTTCAGAATGATTTAATCTCCATGGCAACCATTGAGATGAACAAAACGCCTGGGTGGACTTAGCCCCGCCTTCAGGGCACAGCTCCTCCTCACAGTTGCAGTTTCCAAGCTTCGAGCTTCCACTCAGCTCCTTCAGACTAGCCAGCAGCAATTAGCAAACACCTGGAGGAACTGCAGATCTGCTGAGCTCAGTATAGGAGCTACTTCTCAGAACAACACTGGTAAAAAATGTTAAAGGGCTAAAAGAGCAGCCATGTTACTTCCTAAAGGCAGAATTTCAGAAAGAGTTCTTAAAAATATAAATTTATGCTATAATTTGTTTTTAATAACATAAATTAAACTGATTGTTCTTATATGTACTTATTACTACCGATTAAAACATTCTTGGTATTTTTACTTTATTTTGTATTTACTGAGATACTCCTAAATTAATCCACTCAAGTTGCACAACTGTAATCACGTAGGAAAGGGAACACTGCACAGTCAGGACATATGACTTCTACGATGAAACAAGGTGGTGGCAGCATCATGCAGTGGGGATTATTTTCCTCAGACTGAAACTGAGCTGTTTTGTGAAGAAATAGAAGAACAAACTTAAAAAAAACTTGGAGCTGTATTTGCAGATTCAGAGGAAGTTCAGTAAGTTACGACACAGAGGTTTGAAAACAAAAGCACACCACACGTTTCAGATTTTTATCTGTCACTGAAAATGAAACATACTGATGTTTGTTTATAAAATTTGAATCAAATCAAGCAGAAATACTTTAAACACTCTTAACTAAAGTAAGTACACTAAGGGAAATACTTTTGCAGTAATGAAAGCATCAAGCCTGTCTGTGAGTCATGAGAAAATATATCTGATCATTTTCATGTTTCAAGGATGAGTGATTTTAATCCACTGGTCTTCATTTTACTTCTGGCTGTCGAGTTTAACAATTATTGCCAAAAAAGTAAATTACAGTGAATTTTTTTAAAACTCATTATTTTAACTTCTGTAACATTATCCCAAATGTTGTGACAAACATTACGGTTTACGTCTCCCATCCCTGTTTTCTCCACCTCTGATGGGGTTTAATCACATTTTTAGTCCAAACTATTTTGGTTTTGTTTTAAATACATCAAACCCTGTTAAAAATGTTCCACTTCTGGGCTGTGAGTCATGTTTTGTTGCTGCAGTGTTAAGATTTGCATCTTGAACCCGCCTACAGGGGGCAGCTGGGTTCATTTTATTTACATAGAGCACTAAATCATATCAGTGTAAATTAAACCACATCCTAGCCCACTCCAAGCCAACAGGGGACGCTGCAGATTTACATATTTATTAAACCTGTCACCATGTTGTGACAGGAGATGATCTGTGATCAATCTCCTCCAAGACCTCCCTGAGCTCTACTGCCCTCTGAAGAAATGCATCAAAAACAACCAATCAGAGCCAGGAGGCGGGTCTTAGTGCTGTCAATCAACTTATGTAGTCATTGCTAAATGTGCTAGTGGTGGAGAAAGAACAGATAAACCGTTTATCTGCCGTCATCAGTGGCTCTGCTAACTAGCCTTAGCATTCACAACCAGGTGCTAGCTGCAGCATAGCACACAGTGCTAAGACCCGCCTCCTGACTCCGATTGGTTGTTTCTGGTAAGGACTGGGAAACAGCAAAGGAGCTCAATTTTTTTTTCACAGATTATGTCTCATAACAGTTATGTAGCTGTAAATTAGTGAGTAAATAAATTATAGTTTTCTTATTAAAACATCAAATTCAAGATTTTTCAAAACAATTTCAATTCACTTAAGTAGAAAATGGGCCCCAAAAACTCTTCAGTGGGCTCTGGCTCTGAATCAGCTCAGTCTCAACTCAATTAGATCAACTAAATTCATACAAGAATGGTCCAAAGATAAAATAATCACATTCAAAACCAATCAAATACTCAATTTAAACAGTTTTAGAAACAATAAAGTCAAATCCAAACATCCAGGAAGTCCAACAGATTGCATGAAGTCAATAAAAATGAAAAAGTTAGTGCAAAGAATCCCGCTTTGGTGTGAAAGACGCGTCTTTAAACAAGCACTTAAACAGATTTAAACCCATCATTTGGCCAAAAAACAGCTGGAGCATTTTTATCACCGCCGGACTGTTTGATGGGACGATTTCACAGTTTCTCTGGGTTCAATCTAAAGAGTCAAACTTCGTTAAAGCCCATTTTTCAGTTTTAAGGCTTTTCCAGTCCATTATAATACAACAGCTGGACAGGATAACTCATAACGACCGTAAATAAAGACAAAATCCGTAAATTACAATTATAACTTGTAATTAACTTTAAAGTTTCAGATTAAACAAATCCATTTCGGTGTGAAGGCATTTTATTTTAGGGTTTTCCTGCTGTAGTTGGTTATTTAACTACTGAAATAAAAGCTGCCAGCGCATCACGTTTCTTCCGCTCAGCAAGTTCCCAGTTTTTGGTTTTTATTTCCCATCATTTCTCCTGCAGTAAAGTAAAGCAGCCAACGTTGACCTCACGCTGAACAATAAAAACAACACATTTCAGCTTCACTTCGCTTAAAAAAAAAAATCTAATTCACTCACCTAAAGTCGGCCAACAGCTGCCTGGGTCGGAGGGAGCTCAGTTCATAACCGAACCGAGGACAAAACGGCCCGTTCGGTTCCGGTTTCTAACGAATCTCGGTGTCAAAGACGCTGCAAGTCCGAGTAAACATTAAGAAGTGAAAAGAAATAGAGCCGAGCATCCAACCGGGGGAGGGAACTGAGGGGGAGCCAGAGAGAGAAAGAGGGGGGCTGACAGGAGGAGGAGGAGGAGGAAGAGGAAGAGGAGGAAGAAGAGGAGAAGGAGGTCTGACTGTTTTTATCTCTGAGTTTTTACAGAATAAATGATCCGCTGGGAAAATACCTGGAAAACAGACGAGCTGCTCTCTGATAGGTGAACAAAAGCCATTTATTTACAAAATAAGAAGAAAATCATGTCTGCTAAGGATAATTCAGAGGTAAATATGTTTATTTTTGTTTTATATAAATATTTTCGTCTTATGGCTCTTTTTTCTGGATCTAATTTCTCCTGATTGTACGAGGGTGTATTTATGTCATTGCAGATACATTTCCTCTAAAACAAAAAGTCTTTGCGTTTGACCCAGAAATGTTCTAAAAAAAAATGATTGAGGTTTTTTTTTGCTTTTTTTTTTTTTTTTTTTGTTTTTTTTTTTTTTTTTTTTGCTTTTGGCAAAATTGTATGTTTTAGACTTTCGAAAATTTTCCACCTGTGAAATTTACATTTTTGTCTAGCAAATTTTGCACTTTTGAAACTCTTTTTAGTCTTAGAAAATTAAAAAAAAAGGAAGTTTTAAGTTTGAAAAACCAAAGATTTCCTAGAAAAAAACCCTCAGAAATGTTGACATTAATCCCTGAAATTTTTTGGGGAAAAAAATTAGGTTATGAAATTGAGAATTTCTACCTTTGGAAATTCTGAAATTTCCAGCCAGCAATTTTTCAACTTTTCAAATTCAGAAATTTCCTGGATTTTTCAAGGAAATTTATGAGATTCATCTAAAAAAATTTCTAGCAAATTTTCAACTTTTCAAACTGAGAAATGTTCTTGTTTTCTATAAGAAATCTCTGTGTTTCATTTCAAATTTTCTGAGTTGTTTTTTTTTTTTGCATAAATTTGCTCTTTTTTTCATTCTCTATGATTTGCCATCGTTTCATTTTTAGTCGCAGGTTTGCTTCTTTCCTCCCGGGTCGGATCTTCTGTGAGGTCCTGAGT